TCGGTTGGGCTGAGGGATGGAGGAAAAGGTGGCGAAGAGGGCATCCTGCAAAACTGCCCCATCTCCTGGCATTCCCAGATGCCCCTGCTGTCGGCAGCTGAGCCTCCAATGGCAGCAGCGGTGGCTGGATACGCCAAAGAGCAGAGCCAGGGCGCCGGGCATCGCTGGGAGATGAACCAGGGGCAGCCGCCGGATGCACCCAGCGCCGCAGCACCGTGGGTTGCAGGTGCCCGCGAGCGAGGGAGGAGCCCAGGACCCGTCCCTGGGTCTGGTGATGCGGGGTGGGACCCGTTTCCCCTGACACAGCTGCAGAAAGAAGCAAGAAATAGTTGCCCTCAAGCTGCAGTCCAAATAAGCACAGTGGGCTGATCATTCAGTTCATTGACGTTCACAGCTAAATATAAAGACATATTTTTTTATGAGAAAATTGGTCCTACTTTTTTTTTTTCCTCTGAAGAAAAATACAACAGAAGTAGTCCCAAGTTTTTCAGCTGCACAGATATAATTATGCCACTTAAATTCTCTTAGGCAGGGGTGCAGGGAAAGTATGACTTGCAGAGATTTAAAGGGTGCTGTTGCTATGGTGCTTTCTGAACTGGGATGTTTCTTGGCTCCTGAAATGCTAAACACTTAAAAAAGCAGCTTATCAACTCAAGCTTTCTTAAAGGCCCATGACAGCCTCTAAGCCAAGCTTCTGCATTAGACTCCACATCAAGCTGGAAGAAGCTGGTCAAACTCTTTTGGGTGGTGCCAAGGCAACACAAGAGGGAAAAAGCTGCAAATTCCTGCTTGGGACGTTAGGAATGGCCATTAGGAAAAGCTCTTTTCTCCAGGAAAGCAGTACAGCACTGGAAGGGATGCCCAGGCAGGCCACAAAACCAAACAGCCTTGCACAAAGCCATGGTGGGAGTACTCCCAGTGCTGGGAGCGCCCTGCTCCCACCCAAACTTTGGGCTAGAGACCCCAAAATGACCCATCCCACCACCGTTCCCGTAAACCTGTGACATCGTGGGGCAGAGGAACAACCGCCACTGCTGCAGCTGGGGCGATACCCGTCTCTGCGCCTGGAAGTGGGGGGGGATGCTCATACCTTGGGGGATATGGCCGTGGTTCTCATCCCGGTCCAGCTGCAGGATGTCAGGGCTGAGGCAGCCTTGTGCCTGACGCACCTGGCAGGATGCCTCCGCTTTCCAGGAGGGACGCAGGATGTCGAAGAAGATCTGGTACTCGCGGTCGGAGAGGGGGCTGCCCGGAGCACGAGGCACCAGTGGAGCAGCAGAGGACATCTCCAAGGTCAGCAGCGCTGCTGGAGAACACAGGCTGCGTTCAACCCTCCTTCATAGGGAGAAGCAGTGGGTGGGAATGAAAGAGAGGATGAGGGGGGCAGCATGCTCCCGTCTGCTGGTGCTGAGTGGGGTGCTGGGACAAGCTGGCCTGAGGTCCCGCTCCACCACCCTTGCTTGCAGGCCCTCAGGGGAACCAGGAGCCCTGGGGTGAAAGGGGGAAAAAGAATGAGAAAAAGGAAAAAAAAAAAA